TTTTATATATATATATATAAAATGTGTGTGTGTGTGTGTGGTGTTATTCTGACAATGACTGTGACTATTAATTGATTATTCGGTTAAAAAAATTGTCGCATTCTGCAGATTTTTCATTTATGCCCTTTTCTATACAACATTATGAATACATTAATATACAAATAAACAAATTATTTAATTCCAATAAAGACATGCAACAACATAGCATTTCAAATTAGTTTACGCTTGATTATTTGTAGCAAAAGATGAATCTGCAGCTAAAAAAAAATACTTATAACATCAACATGTGAAAAGCTCTCCATGTTTAAGTTTTGGGTTAACTGATGAAAACCTGGATATCGACAGGTTTTGCTCAATTTAAACTAGACGAAAACCGACACTTGAGTGATAGATTTTTTTTTTATATCTTATATGCAAAATGTTTTCATTTTTGTAAAGTTTCGCTTTAATATGTGCTCCCACTGTGTTCTTTCAGCAATAGATCTTTTTTTGAATCTTTATCCTACAACTAACGATTCATCGATTACCAAATTAGTTGATTATTTCAGTAATTGATTAATCGCGATTAATCACAAATAATCCGATCTAATCCGATTAATCGTTTCAGCCCTCCTTACGTGTTGGTCAATCTCAGTTTAAACCAAGCTGTTGTGCGAACATTAGGGAACACACACCATCGTGAAACTTGGGGGCATAAAAGAAAAGTCAGACGTAACGCTGCAAAGTATTCCTGACCAAGGTTCGAGGGTAAAATTTAAAAACTCAGAACATTTCAAGGAGCCATCATGTTCCGTCCATCATGTGCCTTTCCTTTCACTTCCTAATTATGCTCTGCTTAACGTTGCCCAATAACATAAAACCCCAATAAAACACATCAAAGCTCGTGGGTTGAAAAGTGAAAGAAACCGAATGCTGCGCATTTCACATGGATCGATCTTTTAAGTTTTAGCTTCCCTGAGCCCCTAGTCATTCATTTTAAAAGCATTATTACTGCATGCCGTTTGCAGCGGCCGTGCATTTCTCTGCAACCACATGTAGCTCATAACGTGAGCCATAAGTGTTATGGCAGAATCGCCCAGACCACTGAAGCCCTCCCAAATTGTAATTATTCATTTTCTTGGCATCCCTGCGTAAGAGTTCGGCAGCAATATTTAGATTGCACGCAGCAGTAAATGCTTTTGAACTCAGCCACCTCCTTCTGTGCTTAGAGAAGTTTGAATGGTTGAAAGGATGTTTTTTTTTTTTCCACCCTCATCTGTCAACACAGTTGGATTCAATCTGTTTCCCTTCTGCCGATCACTTCCTTTGTAAATTGAATGCCGCCCACCGGTATTATTAAATAGGCGAATACACACAGATCTGAATGTAATGTTATCACCGTGGTCGACTGAGACTGAGAGTTGTAGCGTCTGGACACTTGAGTCTGCTAAACAGAAACAGATGAGTTTCAAGAGCTGAAGACCGTTGCCTTATATGAGCATTTATATCTGTGCCAAGTGGTGACTTTGTCTGCTCGCATGTCAGTGTGCCCCGCCGGATTTTAGGGAGCCCTTGACTCAGCACCAGTGATTGATCGGCTGGCACATGTGGTGAGGAGGCCCGGTCCGATCCAAAACCGCAACACCACCACCGTCACCAGTGGGGCTAATATCCCCTTTTCACTCTGTCTGGACCATTTTCTCTCCTCGTGTGTAATCCGCTGCAAGTCTTACTGTCTCCTCTGCCTCACACTTTTTAAGATCACCGTCTCTCTTAATTCCAAAGAATGGTTTTGCGGAAACGGAATCGCCCTAATACTCCCTCGCTGCACTGGCTCCAGCTGCAGCGAAGGCAGGTTTAGGGTGTAAAACGTGTATTTTGTAAAATCTGCTTCAGATTTTGATCACTCTCTTCCATTTGCGCAAAGAAAATCATTTATTATCCTCCTTTTCTCCATTTCCTTCATCAGACGACAGAAACTATAAGTCTTTCTTGAGGAACGATCACGCCGACAAGAAACATTGCTTACTTATTATTTTTTAAAAGTTATTTGTCCCGCATTTTTCATTTTGTAAAAAGGTAGAAAATCTGAAAGTCATCTGTCAGAGGGAGCGAATGACTTTAACTAATCCTGTTTTCAAGGATATTTACATCCATGTAACCGGGACTTAAAGTATTTACCAGGCTAACATCTCTTTGCTGCTAAATGTCATCGAGCTTTTGAGAACCTCCCCAGAGCATTTTGCCTATTCATCTTTTCCATTTGTTCCTCTTTAACACTTCTGCAGGACATGACCTTTTTTTTTTTCGGGGATTATCCTGCCGGGGTCACAGTTCAGAGTTCAGTCTGGGTACAGATTAGCATAGAGTTCTGTTGAGTAAATGTCAAAAGGATCCGAGTGATCCTGAACTCTCCAGAGGTTCATTTTTTATTAAAGTGTAAGAAATTATTGAGAAAGTGATGTAGAATACAGTTTAGGTTTAAACTGCAAACAAGTGCTTTGGAGACTTTTGTCAATTCAAACCGTAGATGGACAGACTCGACTGCCCCATTGAGACCCTCTTGTAACCTCTGGCCAACCAGGTCAGCCTTAGTTTGTCATCTCCCAGTGCCACGACCCCCCGGGTCAAACACCGAAGTGTGCCTGTCTTTGGGTCGATAGCAACGTGACCTTTTCCTCATTCTGCCATTGTGCCACATGTTGTTAATTCCTCATCAGAGAACCATTTCAGCAGCAGAGCCGGGGTCAGATTGCTGTCCAGTCTGCTCTCACCAGTCAGTTGCTCAGAGTCGAGCGAACACCTGATGTGCCGGCAGCTCAATCTACGAGGCTCAGTTGTTCACTGTTTGTGCCTCTTTCTTAAAATACAGTATTGTGCTGTCAGCTGATAAGCGCCACTGCTTTGCTTACTTAATTTAATAATAAATGCTAAAGATGAATTAGTTCAGTTAATATAACATCTGTCTGTTTTTACAACTGTAACTGTCCTGGGAACCCCAAAGCAAGACGAAACAGTCATGCAGTAAAATCTCCTATTATATGTGAACAGTCTCATGTGTGACGCTCAATGAGAAGTGACAGAAATAGAAATGTCAAAAAGCTGCGATGCATGAGAAAAATCAATCTGTTCTCCACAAAAAAGAGACACTTTTTGAGTCTTTCCTAAAGAACAGGAACTTCTTTGTGTCACTTGGAACTTTGCATCACCTGTGGAGTACCACAAGGTTTAATCCTGGGGTCCCTTCAGTTTTTTTTTTTTAAAGCATCTTAGTCACAGTGGCCTGTGTTGAGTGTGGACGTCTTTGACCGCTGAGATTCTATCTAACATAGAAGGCTAAATACGTCATGGGCATGAAAAGTTTGTATTAATGACAGATGTAACAAGAACAAATATTTGTCATTTAAGATTTTCCACACTGGTATAGCATGATATTATGCTATCATCATTAGATGATGATGATAGTATAATGTGCAGCCCCCTCCGTGGGTGGTCTCTCTTTCATCCTCTGAGCTCGGGTCCTCTACCAGAGACCTGGGAGCTTGAGGTTCTCCTCCAGCATCTTGGCTGTGCCTAGAACTGCACATTTCTGGACTGAGATGTCTGATGTTCCTGGGATCTGTTTGAGCCACTGCTCCAGTTTGGGGGTGACTGCCCCGAGGGCCCCGATGACCACAGGCACCACTGTGGTCTTCACCTTCCAGGCCTTTCCCAGTTCCTCTCTGAGGCCCTGGCATTTCTCCAGTTTCTCGTGCTCCTTTTTCCTGATGTTGTGGTCACTTGGTATTGCTACATCCACCACAACGGCTTTCCTCTGTTCTTTATCCACCACCACAATGTCCAGTTGGTTCGCCATTACCATCTTGTCTGTCTGAAACCAATGAACTGATATATATACATATATATATATATATATATATATATATATATATATATATATATATATATATAATATATACGACATTATGCGTCCATATCCGTTTAAAAATCAGACATTGATGCAAACATGAAATTCTTTATGTAGAGAAACAAAAAGAAACACAGCTAGTTTTTCAAAAACAGACTCCCATCAATTCAACGTCCGTATTTCTTGATCTTCTTTCTTGAATGGTTTGGGGTTAATTAATCTCCTTATTTTTTTAATTTATTTCTTTTAGATAAAGAAAGCCTGATCACAGAGAGTGGCAAACTCCACACTTTGGACATCCTTTTAAACCGACTGAAGGCCCACGGCCACCGAGTCCTCATCTACTCCCAGATGACCCGCATGATAGACCTGCTGGAGGTATGGACACAAACACACACCTGCAGACACCCTTCATATCCACAGCTTATCTGTTTACATATACTGTACATGTAAGCACACGAGTTTACTGATCTGTTGAATCACAGGCCTTCTGTTACTTAGCTGTTGAGCTCCAGCACCCCTGATAAGCCAGCCTGCCCCTCGTTAGCGAGCCTATTAGATGGATAATTATCAGGTCGGGGCTAATTAGAGGGGTCTCATCTGCAGCGGAACTAGGCAGATGGGAGGGATAACTACAAGCGGTGAAGAAAGAGGGAAGAGTTAGAAGATGCAAAGATCCTTGGGTTGGAGGGGGAAGAAATACGGTTTGATGGAAAAGAGATAAAGTGAAAAAATTATAGTTTTTTTTTCTCCCCCTTAGGGTAAAACCAGAAAAATTATCAACATGGCTACGTACGCCTGACCTTTTTTTTGTTCTTATCTGAATTGAATAAATGAATAAACATATATATGAAAAATATCTTTAGATCAAATACCGTGCCTCTAGGTTAGCGCTAAACCTGATCAGAGGTCGGGAGCTGTTAGGTTTAAAGTTATATCCATGTTCAAAAATGAATTTCACACAGCCTTGACGGCAATACTACAGCAACAAACAAACTCGATGCAGTTCTCTATTGTTGCCACCATGTTTGTTGCAAACATCACTGTGGAGCCAAAAATCTCCGGCATGATGTCACTGGGAATTCCTTCCCCTGTCGAACACGGCGCAGTGCTGTTTCCATAGCCAAATTTCTTGATGGCAGATGGACTCGACCCAGGTGGCTAAGGGCCGTCTTCCTGCGTATCTGGAAAACGGCAGGAATACCTCGCCTTTAAGACCGGAGGACTGATAAAAGCACTTAAGATGGCCGAGATAAAGCAGGCTAGCCATTCTCTTTTAACATCCCTCTCGCCGGCTTTCCCAGCACAGGTTTTGCGCCTCGTGAATCACTGAACACTGTTGACAGGTGACCTCACAATGTAATGGAAGGGAGCTTTAGGGTAGGTGTGACGGCATCTAGTTCACTAAGAGGCAAAAGATATCCGGAATGAAATCATACGTTCACCCTATCCGGCTGCAGCGTTCCTGCATTGTGTTTCTTTTTTACTGGTAAAATGGAAAAAAGAAATCCTGCAGATGGTTTTGATTTCCACAAAATTAGAGCTCCTTTTTCCAGCAAAGCAGAGGCTGATGCTAATCTCTGTTAGATTTTATGAGTTTGTGGCTTGTTGGCTGCTGATTTATTGGGTGGCGTCATTTTGCCGGGTGATGGACAAGCAAGATCAGCTCAGCCTGAAGAAAATGAACCCGACAGCAAGAATTACCTGCCAAGACGATACCTTCCTTTTTTTTTTTTTTTTGAGTTGGCTGCTTAGAAAACAAGTTGCCAGTTAAAAACCTGTAACATTGTTTGCAACAGGGGTAGAAGAACATGACTGAGTGATGCCAACATCAGGAGGGGATTTTATTAATAATTTCAGGAATTAAATTTCCCTTTCATCTCTTCTCGCCTTCTGTTTATCAGTTCAAATCAGATATTTCAATTTTCAGACTGTAATTTTCTTGTTTTAGATCATTTAGTGTTAATAAAGTTCTTCTCTTTGCTAGAACATTTTTAAACTGGCTGCAAACATCCAAAATAAAATTAAAAAAGGGCAGAAAACAGGAACTGTGATGATTATTTTAAAATCATCACAGTTCCTGTTTTCTGTATCCAGTACTAAGATTCTTTTATTATTATTATTATTATTATTATTATTATTATTATTATTATTATTATTATTTAAATTCAATCCCTAACGAGCTTTTGATGGTTCAATGAAAAAAATAAAGCATAGAAATTGAGCATGACCTAAACGTATTCCTTAAATCATGTCATCTGTGTTAAACTACCCACATATTATGTCATCTATGCTTTGTGGGGGGGAATAAAAGCCCTAAAGCTGACTATTAAAGAAACTTAGCAGCTGTTAGAGGTCAAGATCTCAGTCTTTCTGCTCTCTCTAAGAAACAACGGCCAAGATGCTGTCCCTGAAACTTCCGTCCCGATCATTTCCGTGTTATTCTTGGGTGACTTTGTTCTGGGAAGAAACAAGAACCTTGTCCCAGAAGATTGGGAGCATTTTTGGAGACCAGAACGTGCTAATGGTTCCTAATGTAGTGTTCATTCAGAGCAGATGGGGTTGTTGGGAACAGAGCCAGACAGACCAAGGAGGGCAGGCCCTGGTGGGACCGAGGGCCCGGGTGCCATAACGGAGGTCTGGAAGGGGTGGGTTGGTGGGTGTGGGTGTGTGTGTGTTGGGGGTAAGAGGGTCGCAGAAAACATGGTGTCAAATCGTTGCTATCGTCGCTAATGATTGCGTGAGGTGAACCCTGATTGGTTTTAGTGATTGTGACTGCTGCGTTGCTTTGGGGGGGCGGCACTCACGCATTGTAACCAGGAGGTCGCAAGTTCACGGCGGTACTTAAAGAGGGCTCAGCGCGTCACCTCATCAGCGCTCCTGCTCCTCAGACCCTCACACACACACACACACACACGCGCCAACACACACAGGGCAGTTTAGCAGACTTCTGGGAGGATATAGTGTCGGTGTATCAGTGTCTACATTTCTTAGTGTCTCTCTGGGTTTTAGCAAATGAATGCAAAAAACAAAAGGGAGAATTAGGATATTTTTTGGACAATAAATGCTGCCATCGCAGACAGATTATTGTGATAAAGAGGAATATTTCTCAACTCCTAAAATGAAATCGATAGCACTGCTGGGTCTATCTGTTCCTTAGAGGAAGACTTAAGTAGAATTACATATTTGAGATCCTGTTAAGGTCAATCTGCAGTCGCTGTGATGATTTTTTTTTAATTATTGTTATTGTTTCTGCAAGCAGAGGTTAAAAAAAATCCCTCGGATTTCAACAAGTCCGCAGGAAAAACGTCAGTAGGTTTCAAAATCCGATCCTTGACGGTTCACCGAATTCCCGACTTTGTGCTTTTTCAGAAGCATAATGCAGGATTTGACCCATTTTATTCATTCTGTTTGAAAAGGGGAAGCAAGCGCAGTAGTTTGTCTAATCAGCAGCTACTCTGTCATTTCTCCTGGATCGTTTGTGACAACTTTGTTTTAACAAACTGTTGCCTCCATATCACTCCTCCGTCAGCGAGGGCCTCCAGGCCGCCGAGGTCACTCATGTTTGGTTGCTCTAAATATTGAAAACTGGACATCACCCTTCCATTTGAACATTTTCGGTCGTTTGATTTCCTTCCAGGAGTACATGGTTTATCGAAAACACACCTACATTCGCCTTGACGGGTCCTCCAAGATTTCCGAACGCAGAGACATGGTGGCCGACTTCCAGAGCCGGTGAGTCGTGTGGTTTTTGTCTGTGGCTGAGTCCGAATGTTTCTCCTTGCTAATAACGCCGTGTAATTTGGCCTTTTTGTATATTATAGCAATCAGTAAACAGTTTTATCAAGTGTCCAGATATTAGAAGCATGTGTGTGTCCGCCTGTGTTTTGGCGTCCACGTGTTCTGGATCACATTAGTGCAGTGGCTCACAGGCCCCTGTGTTACTCCATTGTTTGCATTCGGGACGGTGGTTTTCAAACTGGGAGGTGCAGAGAGTTACTGGAAAGAAGTGGGAGCGCGGGGGGTGACCAGTGGGAACTGAAGAAGATGATTTATGTGGAGAAAATAAACAAAACAGACTTCTCTGATTCTGCTTTTTTATTATTTTTTACACTAAAATTTGTTCCAATTTCTTCCTAATCATTGGATTTCTTCTAAGTGCCCCAAGTGCAGTTTTGCAAGCAAAAATAAGATGTAATTTTTAAACAACTGGCTGTTCACTTGGTTAAATGTCTGTCACAGAAAGCCAACCAACAACGGGTTCAACATTTCCGCACAACTCCTAAGATATTTGATTAGCTTTTTTCTTTGTTTATTTTGAAACTAAGAAAGAGAATGTGTGGGAAATTAGATGCAATGTCAAAATATTATTATTATTATTATTATTTTTAAAACCTCACCGTTTTGCTTTCTGCCCTCCACAGTACGGACATCTTTGTGTTCCTGCTCAGTACGAGGGCCGGAGGACTTGGCATCAACCTGACCGCTGCGGACACGGTGAGCTCCGCGTTTCGCCGACTACCGGCGCTTCGACAATTTGAATTGGAACAATCGCGCAAAAGGCTAACTTCCTCGTTCTTGTCTTTAGGTGATCTTCTACGACAGCGACTGGAACCCCACGGTGGACCAGCAGGCCATGGACCGGGCTCACCGCCTGGGTCAGACCAAGCAGGTGACCGTCTACCGCCTCATCTGTCAGGGGACCATCGAGGAGAGGATCCTGCAGCGCGCCAAGGAGAAGAGCGAGGTCCTTAAAGTTCCCGCAAAATGCTAACATAAGATCTGACTGCGCACGTGTCTGCGGAGACGAGCTAATCTCACGTGGGATTTATCTCTTCAGATCCAAAGGGTGGTCATCTCCGGAGGCAACTTCAAACCGGACACGCTGAAGCCCAAAGAGGTGGTCAGTCTGCTCCTGGACGACGACGAGCTGGAGAAGAAACGTGAGCGCACGCCTCTCGGTGCAAAAGTAACGCTGGGAGAGATGTTGGGAAGAAGGGGAGATAAAACGTGACGTGTCTCTTCCTGCAGTGCGCCAAAGACAGGAGGAAAAGAGGCAGCAGGAGGAGAGCAGCAAGGTGAAGGAGAGGAAGAGGAAGAGGGAGAAGTACGCAGAGAAGGTATCGGCACAGTGATAAAACCACACAACGTAGCAGGAGATGTTCAAGGTCTGAATTTGTGTGGAAAGAAAATAATGTATAGAAAAATACTGATTTCTTCAGGCTCCTTACGCCACAGCCACCCAATCACCTGCTTCAGGGTTTTGTGGTCCTTCAAAATGCTTGAATTTCACTGTGGGAAAAGTGGGTGAACCCTGCCACTTCCCCATATCCATCCTTCCTTCTTGTGTGTTTTTCCTGCAGTTTCCACATTTAAAACCCGACCACTATAGAAATATTCGTCGTCAACTCGTGATAAACTTTGATATCTGTCTAGAAGAGTCCTCAAAAAGGAGTCCGGAAAAGTCGAAAAGATCTAAATGAATCCTGACAAATCCACCGCATCCATCTTCGGCTCTCCTCTTTCTAGCAGAAGAAGAACGAGGAGTCGGAGAACAAGAGGAGGAAGGAGATGAACCTGGTGATCTCCCACGCACCCTCGGCCGATAACTCCAACCTGTCCGCAGACGGGGACGACTCGTTCATCAGCGTGGAGATGGACTCGGCCATGCCCAGTCCGTTTAGCGAGGTGAGGCGGTTTGGGACTCGGAGGTTTGGGGGGTTTGTTGAAATCTCGGTCAACGACTAGGCGATAAATAGATTAAATAAGTGCGTCATCCAGAGTTTAGAGTCTTGGCTGCCTTTTACTAGCTTTATCTCCTGCTGTGCAACATGATGTTTCATATTTTATTTGCATTTTGAAACCTCTGTCTCTTTTTTTTTTTCATATATCTGTTTATTTGTTACTATTTCTCCCTCATTTTTTAATCGACTCTCGCTCTCTTTATTAAACACTCCTGTCGCGCCCTTTGCTTCCTTTCCTTTCCGTCCTTCTCCTCGTCGCCCTTTTGCACTACCGACCCGGTTCCTGATCCGCCTCCCCTCCCCCCCCGCCGTGGTTCTGACCCCCAGCCTGTGTGTGTGTCTGTGTGTGCGTCTGTGCGTGGCCAGATCTCTCTGAGCAGCGAGCTGCAGCCTGGCTCTCTGCCGCCGGACGCCGACGCCGACGAAAGCAGCAGCGACATGCTGGTCATCGTGGACGATCCCGTCTCGTCAGCGCCGCAGTCTCGCGCCACCAACTCCCCCGCCTCCGTGACCGGATCGGTTTCTGACAACATGAACGGTGAGGAGTCAAAAATACTGTGTGCTTGGCGTACGAATTTAGGGTTTTGCTGTTCCTAATTTTTTTTCCTCTGTGGGAGTTTTTAAACTGTACACTACACACTGAGGACCTGTAGAAAAAGTTATTGAATGCAAGTAGAAAGCTTAATATTGAACAAACATGAGATTAAGTCACGATCTGGTGGACTCTGTTTACGAAATAGGTGATTTCTGAAGGCTGCCGGTTGCCCTGGATACAAACGGTTACTGCAGTAAATGAGGCTGAATATAAAAGTCACAACTTACTTTTCTAATATATATATATATATATATATATATATATATATATATATATATATATATATTAAAGAAAACAAACTGTGAATAATTTCCAGTTTGAGTCACATCCTGCACCAGAGTTTTAGAAAAGGACTTAAAGGGCCAGAAGCCCCGAACCTCTGGAGGTTCTTTACATATCTTTTTATTTAATAATGCAGGTATTGCATTAGGTGTGGTTCTTTATATAAAACTTATAACTCCATACCAAGCGAATTATATTAACATTTTGGGATTTTTATAAACACAAACAATACCGAAGTATTTGGAAAATTATGAAGTTACAGTTCACTTTTGGGGGGAACAACATGGAGCTTCTGCCCAGAGGAAACATTAAACCCACCATGCCTCAGTTCATACCTGCTTATGTGTAGGACTACCTGTTAATGTATTATAGTTTACATTAGCAGAAGCTTTTTTCTGTAGTAGACAGGGCACCAAAACTGGCTCTGGCCCCGGGGCCCAGATCCTTGTAAATCCAGCCCTGTTCACAACTTTGCAGTATTTTGCATTGGTCTAAAAAAAAAAACAACATTTGGAAGACATTTAAAAAAAGAAAACTTTCCCATTTTGATGCTCCACTTATGCCCTTTATTACTTTCTTTTTCTTTTTTTTTGCTTTTTATGATTTTATTTTCATAGAGATTTGATAGAGATTTACTGTCTTTCATTTACTCTGAAAATGGGAAATAAATGACACACTTTGGACTCGCTGCCGTCATCGGGGCGTCGTTGAAACCCACTCTGGATTTCTTTGAGCCGTGCTAAGAGCCTCCTGTCTGTAAGAGAATTGATTCCTGCTGATCGTCGGGCCTCGTGTTATTGGAGGGAAGTCGATGGCTTCAGAGAGCCGACGACGGCTTGATGAAGGGTCCGAGAGATCCGTCGCGAACGGAGGATCCGCCGGCCAACGCGGACATATAAGGGAAACGACAGAGACGAGTGACTTTCGAGCAGGAATGCAGCGAAAGAAAGGAAAACGTTCACGCATGCCTTGCTGCTGGTGATATTACAGGCTGTGTGGCACATCAAATGGAGCGGATCATTCACATAAACTAGACCACCAGTGTGATGTGGGTAGTGGGAGAAGGAGAGAGGAGAAGCTAACCCTGGAGTAGACGCGCTGCCACGGAGCCAAGCACTGGATCCGATTTTGCAAGCAGTATGGAAAATGGAGAGTAATATTTTTGCTTGAGTCTGTATTTATGGCAATTATAAGATGATTAATGTTTTAAGGTTCTTTAATGCCGTAAAATTACCGCAGTATGTTTAGCGAAGTGAGTCGAGGCCAAGTCAAGCAGCAGCTCTCATACATTATGTGTGGGATTTCTTTGTGATTTGATTGTAAAGTGGTAAAGACAGGCCTTTTTACGGAAACTACATGTCTGTGAAGTTGATAAATTTATTATCCTTGCGAGGTTTCATAAACTGTCTTCAAAATTAAAAAAAAAAAAATTATGAAAGGAAGGTTGAATTTCCAGACTTTACTCTTTTATTTTATTACCTAAAAGATAAAAATCTAGTTTTCTGAAAAAAAAAAGATACTTAAACAATGTCATTTATCTTTAGATTTAGCCCATTGCAAATGGAATATTAACTATTAATATTTGAGTTGCTATCAGAGATCTTACAGATAAACGTGTTACGTGTTCAAAAAATAAAAAAGGAATATTTTTCTGCCTTTTTTTTTTGGCCTCTAGTTTGAAACTAAACCTGTGGTTGAAAATGATGAAATTAAAAGTATTGCTACTTTTTATATTGGTTAAATCCATATTAGGTAATGATTTCATATAGATTTAGTAAAAAAACACTTTCTCCAGTGACATAGTTTAAAAGTGCACTTCCATGTCTTGTCATTTCATACTTCAGTGTCAGAATATCTGGAAATCCGAGGATGGAAAAGTATTTTGAAATGGAGAACTTTTGCTGGAACCCAGTATTAGAAAATAAACAAAGCTCTTTTCTCTCTCTCTCTCTCTCTTTCTCTCTCTCTCTCTCTGCGTCTCTAGGTGTTTCAGCCTCCGACTCGATCAGCCCAGGCAGAGGCCGGTCCGGTCGGAGTCGCGGGCGGCCCAAAGGATCCGGAGGAGCCGCCAAGTCCGGAGGGAAGGGCCGGGGCCGGAAGTCAACAGCTGGGAGCGCGGCGGCCATGGCGGGGGCGAAGGCTGGGGCGGCAGCCGCCTCAGCAGCGGCTTACGCTGCTTACGGATACAGTGTCTCCAAAGGTCGGTCTCTACGGCAACACGTTTCGCTATTAAACGCCGGTCTTAATTTGAAAATTGTGCCACTGACTGAACAGATGCAAAAACAATTTTAAATCGGATCTCTAGGCTCTTTGATAATAATGCCACATTTCTCCCAGTTTTATATGAAGATCATCTATAAAAACCAACAATCATTTTTTTTTCCATTTCGCAACCAGAAAAGACATTAAAGTTTGTGTTACAATTGAAAGATTTGAATGGAGCAGCTTTGTCCCTACTGCCACGAAATAACGTTTGTGTAGAGCTGCGAAGCAAGATAGATTTGATCAAATATGTACTTGATAAAATGTTTCATTTTGAAAGCTAAGAAAGTTCAACTTTTTTTTTCCAAATCAGACACAAAATTAATCATTTAACTTTTACATAGAAAGAAAACAACTTCAGCTGAGCGAGCCCTTTTCGTATAAAATCAAAATTAGGAAAAATAGGTCGTCCACTTTATAATATAAAAGCACATAGTTTGAATATAAAAAAATATATATTTTTGAAAGCTTTGTACCATTGGTGCCTTTCTGTTGTAGATACTCTTTGTCGTTATTGCATAAGAAGATACAGAAGAGCTGCTAAAGTGCCTCTGTTTCCTTTATAGTTCAAATTATTTCATTGGTTGTCTAAGGGCCAGTTTGGAGGGACCGGAGGGCCACATGTGGCTCTGGAGCCGCAGGTTGCAGACCTCTGCTCTGTGGCAATCTTCACTGTTGTTGCAAAATAATCCAATGCTGCTGAAACTGTTATGTTTGGCCGCCTGCGGTCTTTGTGCTACTTGTAAAAACAGTTTTTCTTTCGACGCCGTTCCTTTTTTGTTTACTGCTTACGCCCGTGCCACTGGACCACCGCGCTGCTCCAAGCGTCTCATTGTTTCCTTTTTGGGCCGAGATTTTTTTTTTTTTTTTTTTTAATGCAAAATCCCTGTTTCACATTAATTGAGCTAACAAACAAACAAACATTAAAGATCCTGTGACCTTTTCGGTTTGCCTCGTAGAAAACGTTCCCCCGGATAGTGAAAGAACGTCTTTGGTCAATTAACAGTGGAAACTGTGCACTAAAACTGTTACTAGGCCGTAACTAGTTGGGTTTTTTTTTTACAAGCAGAGTAACAATGTGCTTTCTGTCCCTCCGTTCAGCCGGCCTCTCCGCCGCCACCGGCCCCCTGCAGCCCTCCTTGGCGCGACCGGCCACGGCCCCCGCCTTCAACCCCAGCCGAAGCTCCTCCCCCCTCGCCAAAGGAGCGCCCTCCGGCCACAGCTCCCACACGCAGCTGGCCCACGGCCACCACCACAGCAGCCACGGCGCAGCCAGGAAGGGCAAGGGCCCCGGCGGCCCCGGGGCTCGATGATGAAGGCACAGATTGGTTCCTGACCTGCTGCTCACTGTGAATCCCTCTGACGCTTTATGCCTACGCTCATAAAGAGAGTGCAGTATTTACTACCCATTTTGTGGAAGACAACGCTCTGCCCTTTTTTGGCTCAGAAACTGAACACACACACACACACACACACATCAGTCTGATGGTTGGTCTTTTTTTCCTTGTTCCAGTTTTGTTTGGATGTATATTAGTTAGCCGAGGCTCGGGCGGTTTTCGTCGGCGTCACAACGAGAGCGCTTCCAAGTGCTTGTGGAGACCGATCAGAAGCCGCAAAAGGGGGTTCTTCAATTTTTATTTTTATTTTTTCTCTCTTTGACAAGTTAGTGATGAACCTCTGTCACTGAGCCGTGTCTTCCATTCTTTGGGTGTTAACTAGTATCATAGATGTGCACTAGGTTATTTAATTGTTCCGTAGATATGTACGCTCAGTTCGATGCCATGGAGGAATCCGAATTTCTAACGTCGACCCCCCCCCTTCCGCCCACGCCGTCCCTCCCCAAGTATATCTACAGCTTTTCTACTAAAGCCCTTATTTTTCTAACAGAGGATTTAAGCAGGCGGACCAACATGGCGACGGAAAACCCTTTTCAACTACGCTTTTCGAGTATTCCCAAATCCACGTGAAAATGATATTTTTGTCCAAAAAAAGAAGAATAGTGTAAAGAAATTTAAAAGATATATATTTCAAATGGAAGTGTGCTGGTTGACTCAGCCGTGCTGCTAACAATTAAAATACTGATTCAGATTATTTGGTTGTTTGCTATTATAAGTTATTACTTTTATTTCTTTGTTTGTTTTTTTGCATTTACAATGGGGAGTTTATATTAATTGTGATGGAAGTCACATGTACAACTGTAAAATGTGAATTCAGTCGCTGTTTTTACTTTTCATGACATTTCTGTGACGACCTGTTTGTGGATTTCTCGTGCGTTTTTAGAATAAAAACGAAAAGGTTCACGTTGAGTGTCCCGAACCTGAGCACTACATTCGTTCTGGGTTTTTTTTGTTTGTTTGTTTTGTTTCTCTGTTAATATTGTGATGAAAACTGAAAGTTCTATATTTGATGTACATAAAGATGAGAGAAGCCCTGTGGCTCTTTTCTCTCTCATCCGCCTGTTTTATTTTTATAGATTGGGTACATGTGAAGAGATGGATCAGCTGTTTTACTCCATGGAGGTGTGAGGTGAAAAATAAAGGTGCTTTAATTTGAACCTTCTCTCTTGTGTGACGGCTTCTGATTTTTCATCCCTCGAAGTTATGTCCAAAGAAAACGTATACAGTTGATGTCAGATGTTTAAGTGTTATATACAAATACATTTCCCTCACTGACCGTAAATCAAACTTTTCCTGTTTTAGGCTAGTTAGTTGCTAAAATGATTTCTGTTTGCTAAATGCCAGAATTATGTGTGAGGGAATTAGCTCTTACTTTCTTCAAGCTAACAATTTAAACACATTTCTATATATTTTTTTGGTTTAGAATTGCCTTTTAAACTGACTTGGGTGAAACATGTCAGCTATTAATCCACAAGTCTATAGCAATAGTTTGCCGAAGTTTTGGCCCATTCCTCCTAACAGAATTGCTAGATGTAAGTCAGTTTTGAAGGCAGACCTGCTTGGACACATCTTTTCTTTTTTGATACATATCTACTTCAGAAAATCTGTTATTTTTAGAGAACAACCATTTTATTTCTATTTCCACGTTTCAAAATAAAAAAACTTTTGCAAAAAGATATATATCCATCGTCTTATGTGTTATTTGCACAGTTTCCAGCCTAATACTGAGAGAAATGGATCTGAATGAATGTTACTGGAGTGTTACAGCAATTATTCAATGGAAAAACTGCTAAAAGCGACATATCTGTATTTATAAACTTTACTTGTTTATAATTTTTAGCCAGTTATTGAGAGCCTTTGTATGTAGAAGGGCCAAAAACCCACTTGTGGCTCCAGAGGCCCCTGATTTATTTCGAATCCATTTTTGGCCAAGCTTTCACTAATGCTTTGATTGAGTTATTGCTCCAATATTTCCACATGATTTTTTTTATTAACTATAGACAACACTGCTATATCCAAGTGCATTTTTTATGCATTAATGCTTCATAGATGCAATAAAAGTCTGATTCTTCCAAAACAAAGTCAAATAAACCGTGGTGTGGTTCCCCCACTCCAAATCTGCAAGGCTTAAATGTATCAAATTAGGGGAAATTTGGGGAGTTTCAATGCGATTGCCTAATCCAATTCACTGGGGTTTAAATAATTTCATGTTGAGACTCAGTCAGCTCTTCAGAACCCTCTGTATCAACAGATCAAGCTTGTAAACATAGGACTTCCAGGTCTGGGTTTACTCCCGGCCAGTTACACAAACCGGAGCACCTAAAGAGACTACTTGAATGGTGTCCAAAGTACAAGCTGCCCCGGTCAGTTTGGGAGTGTCCAACCCTGTTACATGTATTCCTGTGGTCACACACACACACAATACACAACCCAGTCAAATCCAGACCATGGATTTAAAAAGGATGTGTTCCAGGCTTTACCTCGAGTCTCTAAAGCAAAATTGGTTAGGACACCACAGGTCAGTGGGGTTAAATAAACAGTTTAGTATAATAGATGCTGCTTATCCAACCCTGCACAATAAAGAGGCAATTTATTTTTCTCTTGTCCAGATTTTTATTGGTGTTTTGACATAAAACTGGATGGATGTTGCTTCACAAACACACCACAGTCATCTAGTGAGTTTTGTTTACAGTAAACATCTTCCGGTAGCTTAATGAACTGGACGGCTTCAGAACTGAGGAAAAACAAACCGTGTTCCAAGTCTTAGTGATTTATCGACAGACTTCCCTTTTGTTACTCTGGTGGCATAACGCATTCAAATACTAGCATGATGTCTGAAACTACAGAAAATAACCGAACTGACGTGACGGGTTACAACTTTCTCGAGAGTTTGGCATCCTAGGCTAGTGAAACAAAGGGTACGAGCTACTGAGCTGCTAACAGATAAGACACCACAGTCAGAGCGGCCGTCTCGATAGCAAACAGGTGGTGATCCTCCACGTGGGGGCAGCTGCTCCTCATGAACTCCGCCAGCCGGAGCAGGTACTCCAGGTTGTGGCCGGTCTTCCCTCTGCACACGGCAATCTGGGCGCCGATCTCCTCCGGACTGGCCGGCCCCAGGAAGAGGGGGTTGTCGGCGGTGGCGATGTACACCAGCGCCTGAACGGGAGACCGGTCCTCTCCGTGCGGGAAGAAATCCACCATCTTGGTGATGTAGCCGCCACGGACCGTCTCTCGGACGTTGAGGTACTTGAGGGACTCCTCCAGCTGTGAGCCCGACACCTCGAAAGCCACACCCCAAGTGGTCGCCTGAGGGGGAAACAGAAAAAAAAAAAAGGGGGGAAAGAAAGTCAGCTTTGGTGTCGGTGGGGGAACTTCCACAGCAGCTTCAGATGCGTAGGAAGAAGTTCCACTTACATCATCGTCTTCGATCAGCGTCACCACTCTTCCGGGCTGAGGGGAGGAACACAAATGGGTTACAATCATTGTAAATAATTGATGTTAAAACTGAAGTCATTCTTTAAGACAATAGCAGTTTCAATTGTAATTTTATTTAAAATTTCTGGGTATTATCTAATGTCCGCAACTAAGCGCTTCACGAACCACAATGGGGGTCCCGAGCCAACCTTTAGAAACCACCACGTACGTCAAGCATCTAAACCCGCCTTTCAAACTCACCGACTCATCATTCCCGCGATGGAAGTTGTCTCCATGCCAGAAACGCCTCTTGTAGCCTTCAATGTAACCGACCTCGCTCCTCTTGTACTTGAAGTCCGGCTTCCACACCAGCGACCCGTACCCGAAGATCCACAGGCTGCTCTTCCCTGCGATGATGTCTTGAGGTTTCATGTTGATCGGTAGTGTTGACGTTCAAATGGAATCGATGGGATTTTTAAAGAAATCAGCTGTGAGGTGACTAGCTGGTGGTTAGCGTTAGCTTCCTCCGGTCCAGGAGGAGAGGTACCGGTTGGCTCGCAGGGATACCGCGTCCGGTATTGGAGCCCAACTGCTTGGCAGTTGCGAAGATGGAGTTTCGGGGTTGGTTTTGCCTTGCACTGTGCATCGCCATTGCATTAGAGTTGCCGCATTATGCCTTAAAAATCCATGGCAGCCGCTTGGGCCTTGTGGCTCGATACGAAGGGGGGGAAAAAAACGACAAAATTGTTTGGCCAGCCGCTGCGCCGGCCTGTGAAGGTGTTTAGCTTAAGAGAAATGAATGTAAAGATCGAGGTTTTCGAGATGTAACCGTTCTAAATACGCCGCTGGTTGTCGTGTTCTCCCCCCCGCGAAGATGTTGGTCAAGCCTGACGCATTTCCTCGATAAGATGGCGAGGTGACGTTCGAGAATTTATAGAGTACTGGCAAATTTAGGCGGAGCCTCACTAATGCGTTCGACCAATGATATGCATGCAGTCTTTCTTTCCAGTCCTTTTTAGCCAAACAATTTTCGGTGCGCTGAAGTAAGGCGGGACTTAGAGCTACACTCGACATATGATTAGTCCGAATTCCAGTTATGACGTAGTTTCATTTTACACACTGATTTGTCACTGAACTTTCACTCTAATGTACCCAATTTTTGATTGGTCCATCTTGCTGTCAGTCTTTTTACTTTATCTGGCTGATGCAACTTAGCTCAGCATTTCAGATCTCTTGCAGCAAGCTAGTAACATACAAAGACGTTGCATCATATATATATATATATATATATATATATATATATATATATATATATATATATATATATATATATATATATATATATATATATATATAAACTTTATTAATAATGTGAATGTACTATTTCAAGGCCTCAGGTTTTTTCTGTAAATTCTGTGAACTGACCTTTGAATGATTAAACTGAACTGAATTTAGTTACAGTTGTCTCAATTAAAACGTAAATAGCTTTCCTTTTCAGTAAAATTAAAGAAAGTACAAATGGTTATGATTAGATTGATGGGAGTTTAATCAAAGCCTTATATGGATGTTTACATTAGGCTGAAACATATATGAACTGTAATCCGGTTTCACGGCTCAAGTATCCAAGAGTTGGATTAAGATCAACTTTCCTTTCATACCACACCTCTTGAACTTGCAGAGAATTGTTGAGGGAAGTGTTTATACACATAAATATCTGGTGACATTTCAGGTATTTGCTCAGTCCAGCAGAGGGTCACCATGACATACTCAATGGAATATGTGTGGCAATCCACTGGGTCAGAATGCAGTAAACAGGAAATTTGTTTTAGTTTCTATGCACACACATGAGCAGGTTCTGTTTATCAAAACATGTTGGGTAATTATTATTTTTTGTTCACGTAGACTACCCATCTGGAATAATAAATCTTTCTAAAATAAAAGTAGATAAAAGAAAAACTGACTTCTTTTCAACCGCTGGCCACCATGGAGAACATACTGGATGAGGAGATGACCAAACAGCTGTAGGGTTTGTTCAAAACATACCAAGATACCTCCCTCTACCGTCAGATCTTAAATACAGCGAACAGTACAAGCTCATCTCTGCTCAATAAATAGATTATCTATAAATAGGTGGCATTATCTGTTTAATAAGAGGCCACTCAAGTGTATCATCTCCTCATAGATCCAGTCCAGGAAAGGACTGAACGACCCTCTATGAGGCACGAGCTTGCAGCCCCTCACGCTTCGCTCTTTCATCTCCATGTGCACCATATCTCGGAGCAAGTGACTTCACTGACACCACAGTGTCTCTGTGAAATATTCACAGAAATAATCTGCAAATAGATTATTTGCTTTCTTATCTTTTGTCAGATAAGAAAGGGCAATAGGCTGCGTAAAGAGCCAGGCAGTGCTCCTGCTTTGTGGAAAGTTGGTGTTGTTTTTGTAGTTTCCTGCTTACACCTCTTTATCGGTCGAGGACAGGTCAGTCGTATCTGCACAAAAACAAGCTTTCACTCGCCAGGTGACGTCAACAAAACAGATTGATCGATTTGATGCAGCTCAAACCAGGTATTTACACCCACTGGATAAAAGACACGTAACCTTCTTCAACTACCCAACGTTAAATAAGATTAGAACTTTACTGTATGTATATCTAATATATCAAGGTATGATAAATCAAAGTTTTGGTCCCTTTACATTTTGAGGGACAAAAAGGGATAAAGTTGCAAGTCTGAGAACACCATTTCACCTGTAAAGCACGGTGGAGGCAGCGTCAACAACACTTAAGGACAAAAAATATGTTATTTTGGAGTGACCTGATCCTTCGTCCATTATAATTTGCATGCAGAGCTAAAAAGATGTGAGAGCAAGACAGTCTGCAAACCTGAGTCACAACCAGGAAGGATGGGCCAAAACTCTAGCAAGTTAATTTGAAAAGCTTGTGCAAGGAAATCCACATGTCTGATCCAAATTCTGAATTTCCCCTCTGTAGGTCAATAAAGACTGTTTTTATTTTTATTTTTATTCTATTATTTTCAAATCACCCAGTAAAATGTAAGCTTCTTAATTTGAAGTAAAATAAAAAAAAAAAGTCTTTTGGTAATTATTCTGGCATTTAGCTAACAAATGTAATTATAGTCATCTTAATCAACCTAAAACGGGAGGAAAATAAATGACTGATTTGGTTCCAGAAGGGGGAAAATGATGATTCTTTATCTACGGTGGGGAAGCAAATATCTGGTTTCAAAAACAGATCTTCTAGAGGGTTTATCTGACTTATACAGAAAGGCATCTTTTCTTGTAACTGAAATGATTTTTAATGGGGAATGCTGTTCGAATAGACAGAACGTGAGAGGGGTTGGAGTTTTGTTTGGTTTTCTGCTGACCACTTCCTTCCTGTGCCTGGGGTTATTACTGACACCTAGTGTTAATTAAAGAGACAACTGCAGCTGAGGAGAGGCATGACTGCTAGTCAGCTGCAAACACAACAGCAAAAAAACAAGAGAGTAAAGCACAATTTTAAGTTAAACCAATCAGAGACAACAAAACAAAACAAAACAAAAAAACAACTTAATTTTGAAAGTGCAGCTGTAACCATCATGATTTGTTTTCAGGTGGCTAAAAAACAAATGTATTGCGTTGAACTACTGAATTTCTAAAATATTAAATGACTACAAATGCTAAAATAGAAACTTAAAGATGGTGACAAGCAGCTGTAGCTCCTGAGTGGAAGCAACAGTTCTTTAAAGAAAAGGAAAACAAAAGCAAGGAGCACGGAGGAACTTCCAGATTCCTCGACTGCATTCGAAATGGGAAAAGTTGCTGTTGGCAATGAGAGAAAAAGTTACTCATTTCCTCAGTGAAAAAAAAAAAAAAAAAAAAAAAAACACTGATTGGGAATGTTTGCTTGCAACTCTTTGTATTATTTTGAGGTTGCTTCCTGAGACTTTGAGTCATCTGCGCGAGCCAGAGCAGAACGAAGGGAGGTCGATGCGTGAGAAAAACCGCTGGTCCTCGCCGGCATGTTCTGCATTTTTTAATCAAGGAGGAAACAGGAACTGATGTCACTGGGTCACAAACAGGATGCTGTGATTATAATACAATGAAAATGCCGGCCTGTGTTATGGACACCCAGAGGCCAAAGAGCAGAGCCCTAGCAAGTGCGAACCAGGGTGTGTGTGTGTGTGTGTGTCTGCTGATTGGTGTGAGGACGGTGACCATGGGAAGAAACTCTTGAGAGCTATCAGGTTGGGTCAGGTAGCAGACCAAAGCACGATTTGCTTTAACTGGATGATTAATCATTGCGGTGGCATCTAAGTTTTTCCTGAGCGGAGCAGGAAGTTCCCGTTTCTAAACTTTTCTTCTTTTTCTTTTGCCATAATTTTATAACCTGGGAGATGAGGATGCCCAGGTCAAACTGTTGACAGGATGTGCGCTTGGAGGGCAAAAAAATAAACAAACAAACGGAAAAAAAAAATAAAAATTCTACGCCGAGTGTTGACTGCTCTTGATTAGTGGGTGTTGACTCTTACAGGATCTCTGTTAATTGGAGGCAGAAGGTATTTTCAAAAATCCGGACGAGCGATGAAGAATAAGACAAGACGGGGTCGTTTTGAGCAACAATCTGTTGGAGCAGTCTAGATTAATCAGTTTGTTCTGACAACTTTTCTAAAGCAGATTCCTTTTTATTTATGTGGATTCCTCCCAGATTCACTGGCTTCCATCTGGTTTGGCCCTCCCCTCTGGTGACGTGGGGGACCCGTGCCAGGGCCTCTCCCCCAGCTTTGTTTACTGGAGTGGATGGTATAGTACCGGGCATTGAAATATTGCTCCTAACCCTGATGGGGGAAGCAGGCAGTTGGGGAGCCTGCAAGATTTTTTTTTTTTTTATGGGAGGAGGTTTGTGCGCAGTGTGGGTCATGCACACGAGGTGAGAGGCATGGCATATGCTGCTGTTTTTATGGCACCGCAGACTCACTCTGCGAGCTCCCCCCACACGGCATCTGTTTGGCTGGCTACACGAGCATTACGAGAGGGGTGAGGGGCTTGAGGTTCCCCTTTGCCCCGCGCCTTGGCTTTGTTTCACCATTTCCAGCTCGAGGGGGTGGTTTCCCTGGAAACGGATTTGAATTTCAAGCCAATTTAGGGGCCAGAGAGAGAGAGAGATACAGAGAGAGAAAGGGCGGGTGAGTGGAGTAGGAGCCAAAAGCGTTTCCAGGAATTACTCGAGGTTGTGATGCTATAAGCAAAGGGAGCTTTTTGTCTCTATGTGACCTAGTCGTTGTGTTTAGGGCTGGACCTCAACGCTGCATGTGACACCACTGATTCCAACCTCTTATAGACAGTAGGATATCTAATCAGGATCGATGGTACAGCATTTATGAATCCAACATACACTCGATATGTCTTGGTAAAGTGTGCCGAGACAAATATGATAACTGGACTTGAGCTAAGGATAGTTTTTTTCAGAAACATCGCTTCTGAAGAGAACCGATTCTACAAGAATTGTTGGGCGCTGCAGTCTAGTAGTTGCTGGAGTCCTGTTGTTTGAATAAAAACCATTATGTACATGTTTTTGATACAGTGACATGTGTCAGTTTTGAATGGTACACTGATGACACCCTG